CTTAAACCATGTGTCACATGACAGTGTGTTCTTTGTTAAGCTACATCATGATTGCATGAATAGAGATGGTCCCTTTGTAGACCATTCGATCCAAGGATCAGTTCCTCGAGATCTCAGCTTTGAATTTTGTATTCTCTGTGTCGGTGACAATTGAAAATATTTCGCTTAATCGATGACATTGGAAAGGGAGACTCGACTCACTTATTACTGTTATTCCCATTGTTACTGGGGTTATCATTGCCAGCCAGGCTGAACTGAATTTTTATCTATTTTGGGTTTTATCATGTGCGTTTCATCCCCAGCAGCAAGAATTCCACAAATATCTTTCTGTACTTGGATCCTATAGCTGAAGTATTTCTACTTTCTACAATGCTCATTACAGAAGAAAACGTGATCAGTATTACACTTGCCCTTGCCCAGGATGATATCGAGATCAATTAATGTCTCCTATTCAATTCAACACCAGCACATTTTGTGAATTTGACCAACTTTTTGGTCATACTAACATCACACTTGAATCCCCACTGAGTTTTGTTCTCAAATGGTCTTGTGACATCATACAAAAATTTTGAACACCATGCAAAGAGCTTCAATGATTGAGAAATCTTGGCAGAAGCCACAAGAAATGAAGAATGTTTGTCAAATACTTTACAAACATCTGAGCAGAAACCACATGAGATGATGAATGTGTTGTCAAATGTTTTACGAACCAGTTATTCTGGTACTGAACCAATGTTGCAATCATATGGTATTTCCATTTATGGATCCAAGATAAAGTTTGTCTTCTTCAACCTCAAGGTCAGAAGTGAGATATGATGAAGATTTCTTTCCATAGAAGGGAAGCAGAAATTTTAACAACAAGAAACTAGTGGAGCCAACTAATGTTGAACGACAGGTTGTTGTTAAACATGTCGACATGATATGGTCCAAGTTGCATTATTCGAGATCTGATTAGATGTGAAGACGTGAAAAGAATTAGGATAAATTCTCCTTGTGATGTGTTTCAAGAGTTAAATTAGAACATACTCTACTCTCCTAATTAATCCCTGCTGAGTCAGACATATCTACATCTACACTCTTCAAAGATGATAGATTCTCTTTTCAAAGATGATAGATTCCCTTTTTAAAGATGACAGTTTCTCTTTTCAAAGATGAAAGCTTTATCGGATTTCTGCACAACTCCAAGCAAAGAAAGTTGGTTTTATCCAAGACAAAATGGGGCATCAATGTCATAATTCTGACTACGACAAGAGTTCCACAAATGAAACAATTCTTCTGAGACTTTCATGAAGCAAAGAATACATAAAGATACAAGTTGATCAGATGGTTCTTCAGAAATGCAAGCTTGATAGCATAAGTTGCTACACTGATATCCAGAGGTGACCCTGGCAATAAATGATGAAGTGGAGGAAAACCGAGTTCACCATTTTGAATTCAAATGAAGATTGCATCAATATTCATGCATCATATTTAGACATTTGCAAAATAGGAGCATTTTCATTCATTTTATCCATGTTGAATATTTGACAGGAATTTCAAAGATTTTAGCAAAGATTCAAATCCATCATCTGATGGATCAACTTTTCCAGAGAGAGTTCATAATGAGAAGAACTCATCTGAAGAAGGAAGAAGAAGTTCATAATAAGAAGAACTTGTTCAACTTTTCGCTTGAATTCATCATTCGATGGATCAACATTACCAGTTCGAGTTCATAATGAGAAGAACTCATCTGAAGAAGGAAGAAGAAGTTCATAATAAGAAGAACTTGTTCAACTTTTCGCTTGAATTCATCATTCGATGGATCATCATTACCAGGTCGAGTTCATAATGAGAAGAACTCATCTGAAGAAGGAAGAAGAAGTTCATAATGAGAAGAACTTGTTCAATTTTTCGTTTGAATTCATCATTAGATGGATCAACTTTTCCATAGAAAGTTCATAATGAGAAGAATTTATCTGAAGAAGTTCATAATAAGAAGAATTTGTTCAACCTTTTGCTCAAATCCATCACTTGATGGATCAGCTTTTCCAGAAAAAGTTCATAATGAGAAGAACTCATTTGAAGAAGGAAGAAGAAGTTCATAATGAGAAGAACTTGTTCAACTTTTCGCTTGAATTCATCATTCGATGATTCAGTATTACCAGGTAGAGTTCATAATGAGAAGAACTCATCTGAAGAAGGAAGGAGAAATTCATAATGAGAAGAATTTATTCAACCTTTTGCAAATCCATCACTTGATGGATCAGCTTTTCCAGAAAAAGTTCATAATGAGAAGAACTCATCTGAAGAAAGAAGAAGAAGTTCATAATGAGAAGAATTTGTTCGACTTTAGTTTAATCAACATCAACTTTTCCAGAGAAAGTTCATAATGAGAAGAATTTATCTGAAGAAGGAAGAAGAAGTTCATAATGAGAAGAGTTTGTTCAACCTTTTGCATGACTCTATCACAGAATTAGATAGATCAACATCAACTTTTCCAGAGAAAGTTCATAATGAGAAGAACTTGTTTAACCTTTTGTTTAACTCTATCACAGAAGTAGATGGATCAACATCAACATTTCCAGAAATGTTCATAATGAGAAGAACTCATCTGAAAGAGAAGAATTTGTTCAACTTTTTTCTAGATTACATCATAGAAGAAGATAAATTGTCATCCCCAGTGGAAAAGTTCATAATGAGAAGAACTAATCCCAAAGAAGAACTTGTTCAATATTTTAGAGTGAAGATTAAATGAAAAAAACTTATTGTCTTTTCGTCTTTGCTCTATTCTCGTTAACACAATAATGAGCAAAGAGGGGCAGCTGAAGACACTAGTTTTTTCATTTGATTCATTTGATTATTATTATTATTATTATTATTATTATTATTATTTATTAATATTAATATTATTATTATTTAATAAATAATTACAAAACCCAGAGCCTAATAATCAGGCCCATTTTACAAGCCCAAACCAGATAGAAACCCTAAAACATTTAGGGTTTCAGTTAGGGTTTTCTAACCCTAGCCCCGTGCGACGCCGCCTCAAGGGTTTCCAGCCGCCTCTGAAGCCATTCCAGCTGCCACGCGGCGCCGACACTCCAGTACCACGTCACCTTGCCGCTGAAGCCTCCAGAAGCTCCACTTCCAGAACGCCAGCCGCACACGTCTTCACTCTAGGATGAGTCACCACCATAGTTTGGTGACTCATCGAGGTTCGCCCCTTTGTGACCGGTCTGAAGCGAACGTCGTGGTGGCCTATAAAGCCACCACCGAATCTGCAAAAGAAATAGGAGGAGAGCCAGAAGGAGGCAACCAACAACCAGCAAAGAAAGAAGAAAAAAAAACCGAGAACAAACGGACAACAACAAACAGAAAAAAAAAGATACAGAGAAAGAGCTACACCAACGATCCCAGAAAATACAAACCGAAAGAAGAGAAAAAGAGACTTACCGAGGAAATCGCCGCCGTGAGAGCCTCCACGAGTCATCGGAGAACCGAAACGCCAAAGGTGAAAATCGTAGATCTACGATATATTATGGGATTTTAGGTTAAAATAACCTTATATCGGGCATTAGGACGGTTAGATCTACGCTTTGGGGGGTATTTTGTAAATTCCGGCCACCGTTCACGGTGGCCGGCGGCGGTGGCCGGCGGCGGAGTACGGTGGCTTATGGCTGCCGGTTTCCCTCCGGCGAGGGAAACTAGAGAGAAACCAGAGAGAACTCTGGTTCTCTCATTTTTGAGAGAGAAAGGAAAGATGCAAATGGGGAAGCTTGGCCCTTCAGGCCAGGCGTTTAGGGTATTTAAAACCCTCCCCAAACGACGTCGTTTTGGAGAGGGTATCTGTGTAATTTAGGAAAGGGTAAACCCTTTCCGCAACCCTTATAGGTCTGTAACTTTGCAATTTAGTCACTAAAATTAACTTTTAATCATTTTAATTTAATGTTTAAATTTTATTTTATTATATTTTAGCCATTTACCGTATTAATAATATATTTAGGATAAATATCATATTTAGTCCTTTAATTTTAATAATTATTTTTTAATCCCGAGTATATATTTTTAATTTATTTTAATTTGATATATGAATTTTATATAATTTTATTTTAGTCACCAAATTAATAAATAAGGAAAATAACATGTTTAATCCCTGAAATTTTAATTAATTATGAATTAGGTATTTAATTCTATTAGGTTATAATTTAGTCTCTAATTTCAATTTTTATTTATTTTTTACAAGTTTATTTATATAGTTTTAATTTTATTCATTGTTTAGTTATATGTTAATTTTATATGTTTACTTTTAATTATTATTACTATATTAATTAGCCATAAATATATATTTATACAATAAATAATATTTATTTTATTATTATTTAATTACTTTTAACTTATTTTAATCTTGTTTTAATATTTATTTATTTTTCAATATTAAGAAAGGCCAGTCTTAAAACAACTGGATGTCCATTTTCTGATATTTTTAAATAAATAAATATCATACTTTATAAATTATATATTAATTGTTTTAATTATTTATTTATTTTTTAATATCGAAGAAAAGAGCTGTCTTAAGACACCTAGAAGCCCTTTTCTGATATTTCTAAATAAGTAAATATCTTATTTATATATATTAATATATTTTTTTAAATTATTTGAAATAACAGAATTATGAATTAAATATATTTTTGAATTTTTAAATTTCTAATAATAGAGACAATTTATAATTAATAAAGTACCAATTTTGGGTGTTGTAGGGGTGCTAATCCTTCCCTAAACGTAACCGACCACGAATCCCTTTTTATTATTAAAAAGAACGAATTTTTGGTTAAAACGCAGATCAGTTTATCTTTTAATTGATGTTTTCTTAAAAACTCTTTTAAAAGATATTTTTTTAGGTATTCGACCTACCTGACCCAAAAGGCCGATGGCGACTCCCAAATTATTTTCAAAACCATTTATTCACATCACTTTTCCCGTCAAGTAAATATTTCGTGCCCAGACGAAAACCGGTTACGACAACAAGTATGAATTCTCGGATCCTATCAGAATTCAGAATTTGGTGAAGAATTACTCCCAGTTTGTTTCTTTCCCAATCTACACTTGGCAAGAAAAATCAAGGACAGTTGAGGTTAGTGTGCAGGCCTATGTGTTAATTTGGATATAGTTACTTCCTTCTCAACTGGTTCTTTAGGCACGTGGAATCAATTTGTGAAATCAAATGAATAGTTGTTCTTCCTGCTCCACTCCCTTGTGATGGTTTAAACATTTTCGTCTTGCTTGATTTTTGTAGTTATAGATAAACACAGTTTGCATTAATTGTCTATTTTAAAGGTGTTACTAACAGGTTTATTCTCTTTAAAAAAATCTTTTTCTGATCTCATATCCGATGAAAGAGTTGCTCTATTTTGTTATAAGCACATCAATTCTGAGCTCATTGAAAAATATCTCTTAACCATTCTTTACTATGTTTTATCTTTAAGCAGGTAGAGGAGGAAGAACCGCGAGAAGGAGAAGAAGTAAAGCCAAAGGTAACTGTGCCATTGCTTTCTGATATAATTGTTGCTAGCAATTAGTTAACAAAACTATCTTCTCAGCAAACATGGTTTTATTGTTGGCTTATGAGATTGTTGACAGGATGTGAAGAAAAAGAAGACAACTAAAACTGAGAAGTATTGGGACTGGGAATTAGCAAACGAAACAAAACGGATATGGGTGAGTTTTTCTTCTGTCTGCTTACTATATACAGTTTAAGATGCTCTTTTTCTTAAGAATATTACTTTATTTTACATATAATTTATTGTTATATACCATTATTTATGTTTTCTGTGGGGTCTGTTGTAGATGCGAAATCCTAGTTGAAAAAGATGAGTACAATGAATTCTACAAGAAGACTTTCAACAAATTCTTGGATCCCCTTGGATACACTCACTTCACTACTGAGGTATGCATGCAATTGTAGTTTATGCATTGTCTTCCTATGCGTAACTAGAGTCATTAAAGTTCCTTTAAAAATCATGCAGGGTGAGGTGGAGTTTAGGAGTGTTCTGTACATTCCTGGCATGGGTCCTCTTAACAATGTGGACGTAGTAAACCCAAAAACAAAGAACATACGCTTGTATGTGAAACGCGTATTTATATCAGCTGATTTTGATGGAGAGCTGGTAAGTTTTGACCTGGTCACGTGATATCTGTTTTTGCAATATTGGCGTTTGTAGGAATGACTTGTGGGAGTATATCATGGTTCTTTATTGGATAAAATTCGGAAAATTAAGAAATTTTATAACTATTTTTTTGGCATGGTTTGATATTTTGTTCTCCATCCATTTCTTGCATGTTTATGATAAATTTATTAGAAGGTTCTTTGATATTTTGACTGGAAAAGTATTTTCACATTCCACTTGCATAAGACAATCATAGATAAATTCTGTGTATTCACCAAAATGTAGGGAAAAAGATTGTTTAATTTCTTTTACTGTGTTTGTTCAAGGTGACTGAATTATGTAATTTGCATAACTGTGATCATACTTGTAGCCTTTCCTTGTGTTATCAAGCTTTAACTTGTATTTTAACTTGATGTTATGTTGCAGTTTCCACGATACTTGAGCTTTGTGAAGGGTGTTGTGGACTCTGATGATCTTCCACTTAATGTTTCTCGCGAGATCCTGCTAGAAAGCCGTATTGTAAGATTAATTTTGTATACTTTTTTAGTCATTTTTACTTCCTCATGTCTGTACGTTCATTTTCAAGTGAATTTGTATTCTCAGTTTAGGGTCTATGACCAACTCTGCTAACTATTCAGCAATTAATATTATGTTGCCATATTGAATATAGGTGAGAATTATGTTGGAAAAATTAATAAATAATTGAATAAAATTGATGTATTTTAATAATAAGTTATGTCACTTGGTGAACAGACTTATTATTTGGTATAAAATTGCATCAATTCAATTATAACTATTAGCTTTTCAACAAATCTCTTCATCAAAATGTCATAACCTTTTGATTAGTTTCATCTGCTCTATAAATAGGTTAGTTAAGGCTGTCTTAGAAATAATTCCCGAAAACATTGGAATAGGAAAACTCTTAGAAATTCCTTCCAAATTCATTCTTTCTGGTGATAGAGAAAGGCAATATTGTGTTCGACTGATCACTACGGTTGTGCTTACTGTGTTGATCATTTGTTGTTGTATCCTGGGAGACCGACGTCCAACGTTACTCAAAGCACCGAGGAGAGGACGAATCTGTCTTAAGGAAACTATCCATACATGTCTCAACAAAAATCATTCTTCGGTTTATCTTACTCTACTCATCTGATTTTGTGTCTTCATACGAGTAAACAAATCATGTTCCTCTATTTTAATTATTTATTTATTTTGCTTCGTTCGATTATATAATAATATTTATTATTATTATTATTTTATCTCGGATTAAGTATTTTTTCTAACAATCTTAAAACATATTATATATTTAATTTTACAATTCTAATCCGAGACGTCAGTAACTTTTATGACAATTTGCGTCATTCAAATTTTAAAGTGAAGCAAAAGAAAGGCGTGATGGATAGGAAAAGATTTCGATGCCAAGGAAAAGGTTCCATCGATTCAAAATCTATTTGGAAGCAACCTTTATTTTCTCGTTGAAGTCAAAGCTTCTGCTGATTCTAGAAGACTTAGGCATATTGGAAATTGTTTTATGTGATTTAAGCATCCACAACATTACGAGGGATCCACCCGAAAGTGAGGAATCCACGTCAATTGTAATCTCAGGTTTGCTTATCACTTGTTCATATAAGAACCTTTTGCATGTTAACATAACCCTTTTCAAGTTCCAAAATCAAGGGCAAACCTCAGTGATTTTCATCACATGAGATTTTTTTTAATGGAGATTTGGTGAATTTTGATAAAAATTCGAAAAGTAAAAGAAATTAGTGTCATACGCAAAGTCTGCAAACTAGATTTGGTGCACGCAATTCAACGACACTATTACAATGATGAAAATAAGTCTTGGCCATCATACTCTAAACGAAAGGGTCTTGGGAAAATTCCAATTGATATGGATTGAATCGTAACGATGTCCTTCCATATGACATGTTGGACAAAGGATATCTATCTTTGCAGGTTCAAGACATGTCGTTGCATGACAGAGGATGAGATAGACATTGTTGTCATTAAAGTTTGAAAGCATTCTAAGTTTCTATGTCGAAATTGCATCTTGAATGGATTGTCAGATACACCATATGAAGTGTATAATATCCATTAGATTACTAAAGAATTATGAATGACATTTGGTCATGTTCTGAGTTGTCATAGAACATGTGGATGAAGCTATTTTATTAGCAAATTACCTTTAAATAAGGTAACTTACAAGAAAATATGTGAGACACCATATGAGTTATGGAAATGTAGAAAATTTTCCTACAACTACATCAAAGTGTGGGGGTGCCTTGTATAAGTATAATGGTAAGTCAATACACATACGTCGCCGAGATAATATCATTAAACAATTGATCTCAACTAGAGTTATCTATATGTTGTAAAATCAGAAGATAACATTGTGGAACCGCTAAACAATGAGTTGAATTGAGATCAACTTGACAAACATCGAAAGGAATGTGACTAAAGCCCATTAATATTTAAGGCGCTATGTGAAGGAAAACCCAACTTAGTTGACTGGAGATCCCAAGATCTAAGTTCAAGGGGAGACCTACTTGCATAGACCTTGTGAGGTCACTGTGGGGGTTATTATCCCCATGTTCATTCCTATGATGAAAATAGTGACTAAAATGTGGAAAAAGGTTAAGCAATGCTTTTAATGACCACTATGTGTTTCGGTGAGCCGAACAACATAAGTCACCTATGTGAGAGTGAAGTGGAGCCGCTTTAAAGAGACTACTGGGGCATAGTTCTCTAAACTCTTGTAGAACCAGGAGATGTCTACGGCTATATGGACATAACCATGAGAACCAAATTCTTTTCAGTGAGATATTTGTGTGAGATATGTCATCGCTTACACCAATGACAAGACAGTTCAAGGACATCACGTCTACTGGACAGCCAGTAAGGTAAACATATTTTCACAAGGGAATGTTCAAAGGGGGACGCCTACCTATCCTATGCAAATATCGAACGTAGAATCTATCACCATATCGAGTCAGTGTTTGAAATCATCAATTTCATTCATGTGGGGATTGTTGGAAAATTAATAAATAATTGAATAAAAATGATGTCTTTTAATAATAAGTTATGTCACTTGGTGAACAGACTTATTATTTGGTATAAAATTGCATCAATTCAATTATACCTATTAGCTTTTCAACAAATCTCTTCATCAAAAGGTCATAACCTTTTCATTAGTTTCCTCTCCTCTATAAATAGGTTAGTTAAGGCTCAATCTTAGAAATAATTCCCAAAAACATTGGAATAGGAAAACTCTTAGAAATTCCTTCCATATTCATTCTTTCTGGTGATTAGGGCTGGCAATGGATCGGAGATGGGTCGGGTGGAGCTTCATCTGCCCCATCACCCGCGGTCCAAATCTCCATCCACACCATCCATTACCCACCAAAAATTTCATCCATATCCGCTCCATCCATCATCCGCGGGTGGAGTGGGTGGAGCGGATGAGAAATGGATGATACTATGAACAAAACCTATTTTTACATCCTAAGCTCAAATTCTTCTAACATTCATAGAAACCAAACATTGATACTCAAACATTCATAGAAACCAAAACATGAACAATAAATTTTCATCAAATTCAAACAAAAACAAAATGGAACACAATTTATATAGTCTTGTGCACTATGTTTGTGATACATTTTTCAAGTGAATAGATGCATCATGTATGGTCTTGTACACCAAATATAATCTTCAAATCTTCATCAACAAACTATCACTTCTCAAAAGTCCTCTCCATCCTAGTATCAATAGGGATAAACCAATATTAAAAAATTAGACATATTTTCAATGGGATAAAAGTCAGAATTAAGAGAATAAGAATATTTACAATCATTCGTTTATTTTTTTATTATATATATATAATATAATATATATGGATGGATGGATATATTAATGGGTGGATGGATGCTACGGGTGATGGGTTAAAAAATTTGTATCCATATCCGACCCGACCCATCACCCGCCAATCATCCGTTTCACAGCGGGTTTTCATCCATTTATTCGGGGAGGGTGGGTGGATAATCCACTCACCCATAGATAATTGCCAGCCCTACTGGTGATAGAAAAGGCAAGATTGTGTTCAACTGATCACTATAGTTGTGCTTACTGTTGTGATCGTTTGTTGTTGTATCCTGGGAGACCGACGTCCAACGTTACTCAAAGCACCGAGGAGAGGATGAATCTGTCTTAAGAAACTGTTCATACAGGCCTCAACAAAAATCCTTCTTTGGTTTATCTTACTCTACTCATCTGATTCTGTGTCTTCATACGAGTAAACAAATCATGTTCCTCTATTTTAATTATTTATTTATTTTGCTTCGTTCGATTATATAATAATATTTATTATTATTATTATTTTATCTCGGATTAATCATTTTTTCTAACAAATTATGAGAAAGAGACTTGTCAGGAAAACATTTGACATGATTCAAGAGATTTCTGAAAGTGAAAATAAAGAGGTACTTGTTTGATGGAAGCCATATATTTTTCACCATTGCTGACCTGAACTTTGTCTACTAACTTGGACTATGGAAAACTTGAATACAGGATTACAAAAAGTTCTGGGAGAACTTTGGCAGGTTCCTAAAGTTGGGATGCATTGAAGACACCGGTAATCACAAGAGGATAACACCATTACTTCGATTTTACACATCAAAAAATGAAGAGGAATTGACTAGTTTGGATGAGTATGTCCAAAATATGGGAGAGAATCAAAAGGCTATTTATTACTTGGCAACTGACAGCTTGAAAAGTGCCATGACTGCTCCATTCTTGGAGAAACTTGTTCAAAAGGACATTGAGGTATGCATGGCGATTCGGCATTGGATTTGTAAGGGTAAAAATAATCTGAGACTTCAGGTCTTTAGTTTGCTACAGCCCACATGTGACATGACATATAGAGTAGTTCCAATTTTGGGGGTAAAATTGATCGATATTGTCTAGTGAATTACCTGAAACATCTGCTGGCAGTCTTATATTTGGAAATACTAATGAAAAATCTTAGCTCAAGGATAGAAACTAGTTAAACGTTGGTTCTTTGATTTAGTACATAGGATGGGAGAGATTTTTTATTCCTTCCATTTATTTTGGAGGAATTAATTTATTTACCCAGCCGAATTAGGCAAGTCTATGTACAGTAAACTTCTTAGCAATAAACAAATAGGAACAACAGAAGACTGTAACAAAGGTACACCTGTTAAATCAAATTATTTATTATTGTTATTACTAGCTCATATTTTTTTCTTTACCCCCCTGGAAGCTTATATGGTTTCTTTGCTGCTTATTTTGATGTTCCATTATAACTGATATAGCTTCGTCTTTTTAGGTTCTCTATTTAATTGAGCCTATCGATGAGGTTGCCATCCAAAACCTGCAGACCTACAAAGAAAAGAAATTCGTTGATATTAGCAAGGAACACTTAGAACTTGGTTAGTATTTATGGTTTCTTCTATAGTTATTTAATTATTTACTTTCGGTTTGGAGGGGGAGAGGCATCTTTCTTTGG